TTTCGATAATGTGAACCACACTTGGATTAAATTAGTTTACATTATCGAGCGTCTGCTGTATATGAAATTTTTCACATCCAACCACTGCAGTTCTTCTAACATAGACTTAATCATGGCATATTTGTTTTTATTTAAAATGGTTCTCATAGCTTTATTTTGTAGAATTTGTAATTTTGAAAATATGTTTTCATTATTGAAAAACAAATCCTTAATCTAGAGAATAAGCTGAAAAAATATAACATAGTCATCTATGGGGTAAAGGAAAGTGATAAGGGGCCTATGGAAGATACTTTAAGCACTATCGAAGGAAAATTAGAATTTCAAACTTCCCCAAGTGCCGTAAGGGACTGTTTCCGTGTTGGCAAAAGGCTATCCGATTCTGATAATAGAGCTAGGCCACTTGTCGTCGAATTCGTTAATTACAACGCAAAACAAAAAGTTTTGGAGAAGGCAAGAAAACTTCCTAAAGGTGTTGGCCTGTTTGTCGACAACGATTACACTCCAGAAGAATACGCCAAGAGAAAATTACTTCATCAGCACCTGAAGAAAGCCCGAGAAGCATCTAATTCTGCGTTTATTAAAAACAATATTCTTTATGTCAATGGCGAAGCATTTTCCTCGGAAAAGCTACAGAATGACGATATCGGCGACCATCGGGATGAAGGAATCATTGAGACAGTTATCTCTAAGCAGGATAAAAATACCGAAGAACAACTGATCCCTAAAGATACGAAAAGAGGGGAAAATAGACTGCAATATGAACCAAGCAGGGACAACAAGTTAGTTCCAGCAGGCCCATCTAAAAGTACTCCTACGTCTTCACACAAAGGGCCTAAACTACGCAGTACTTCAAAGTAACTGAACTGTGTGTGCTTGTGTTGTGTGTGTTTTTTTTGCGTGAATTCACAAACGCTCATCGCCTTCCTATACCTAGTTTTATTGATTTATTATTCTGTTCTGTTTATCCGGGAGTTTTTATTAGTATTGCATAAAATTGTTGCGTTGTCTTTATTCTGCATAGATCTAGTATATTTATCATGTGGCTATACTCATTTTACTGGCAAAATACGTTGGGTGCTCTTTAAGAATAAGCCTTCGCCAGATGTTTTCAATATGTCTAGACGTCTAAAATTCATGAGCTTCAACGTAAGGTCAATTCAGTCTGGTTTTCTAACTTTGAAGGAGTATGTTGTTGACTGTGCTGTCGATGTCCTGGGTCTCAGTGAGACTTGGCTAACCCCAGATATTGATTCCTCCTCAGTATTTATCAACGACTTCAATGTCGTTAGAGCAGATCGTAATAGCAGAGGCGGGGGCGTCGCGTTTTATGTGAGAAATGGTATTGCCTTCAAAATATTGCACTCTAATATCACCACAGTATTGGAAGAACTTTGGATCTCTATAAAGGTTAATCAACGCAAATATTGTCTAGCTATAGTCTACCGTCCACCATCGGCAAACGTGCTTGACTGTTTTCATCAATTAACTGAGTCTTTAACCAACCTTTCACTCGATAATGATTACGCAATTGTCATGGGCGATTTTAATATTAATGTTTTAGTGAACGACGGCCGATCCGAGATGCTGAACTGTTTTCTTGAGTCTTTTGATCTGTCTCAGTTAGTGAAAGAGCCCACACGTATAACTTCCAATAGCCAGACAGCTATAGACTTGCTCATGGTTAGCTCTGCTGATATAATAAGTGGTTATGAAGTTGTTGACGTAGATGGAATATCTGACCATCTACCCCTAATATTTTATGTAGATGCATCGGAGATAGGCAACCTATGTAAACTGAGGACATATCGTGATTACTCTACCTTTAGCCTAGACAATTTCTACCATGATTTACTTTTAATAAACTGGGATTTTATATATACGTTGAGAGATGTGGATCAAATGATTGACTTCCTGAGCTCTAATATCTTGTGCACCTTCAACTTGCATGCTCCTGTCAGAGTTACCAAGCCACCAGCTCCTTGGCGAACATTCAACATAAAACTCATGATTCGAACAAAAAGTGACGCATATAAAAAATTTAAACGTACAGGAACGATTGCTGCCTGGGAATTCTATAAGAAAATCAGAAATTACGTTTGTAGTGCTATTAGGCGAGAGAAAAAAGCCAGAAAAAAGCCTACCTCGATTATGTTATGAGACATAAAAATTCGAAGACTACATGGAATATCGTTAAACATAACTCCATAAGTCTACCTCCACATCTTCAGGATCTCGATCCATTAAATAGTGCTTTTTTAAACGTACCTCAAACAACCAAATCATTAACTCAATTGAACCTTTTAGACAAATATGAAAACGTCAAGAATAGTGGTACTTTTCTGTTCACGACAGTTTCCCCTGCCACTGTAGAGAAATTTATCAATCGCATCAAAAGTCATGCTAAAGGCTCAGATGGCATCACAATTGATATGATCCGTATAATACATAAGCATTTGCTCAAGTATATTACCTTCATTATTAACTTTTGTATAACAAATAATCTTTATCCCTCTTCCTGGAAGAATGCTCTTGTTCTCCCTCTGCCTAAATCTAATTATCCTTCAAGTTTTTCTGATCTTCGTCCTATAAGCATTTTACCAAGTTTATCTAAGCTTTTGGAAATGGCTCTACATGAGCAGCTGCACACATTTGTTTGTAAAAATAATTTACTGACCACCTCCCAATCTGGCTTCAGACCATTACATAGCACCACCACTGCGCTCCTGTCTATATCGGATAATATTTATAGCGCGGCTGATCAAGGAAAGCTGTCCTGCTTAGTTCTTCTTGATTTTAGCAAGGCCTTCGATACGGTTGACCCAAATATTCTCTGTAAAAAGCTTAGATACTTTGGCCTGTCATCATCGGCTTTCACGCTGATTAAGAGCTTTTTAACTGATCGCTCACAGTCTGTCATATATGAAAACAATATATCAACTTCTTTATTCAGAAATTTTGGTGTCCCTCAAGGATCTATTTTGAGTCCCCTTTTATTTGCTCTTTATATATGTGATTTTCATGAAACCGCCAGCAACTCAATCGTTCATCATTACGCCGATGATACCCAACTTTATAACTGCTTCGATCCTGATGAATATATGCTTGGCCAACATTAAATCAATCAAGATCTGCAGTCTATTTTTGACATATCTAGTGCTCACAATCTAATCTAAAACTAAATACTGGCAAATCATGCTGCATTTTATTTGGGCCCAAAAAGAATCGTGAAATAAATCAATATCGCATTAATATTATGGTGAATAATGAAGACATATCCTTCGTAAACGAATGCAAAAACCTTGGTATCTGGTTTGACTGCAAGCTACGCTTCACTAAACATGTTAACCAACTATGCAATGCGTCCTATAATGTGCTTCGTCAGTTATACCCGAGTCGAAGTGTCCTGTCGACACAGCTCAAGCTTAAACTCTGCGAGTCCCTTATCCTGTCAAAATTATCTTACGGTGACTCTGTTTATGGACCTGCTCTTTTACGTGATGCCGAGCGGATTCAGATGATACAAAACTCATGCATCAGATTTTCTTATGGAATCCGTAAATTTGATCATATTAGTAGCGCTTTTGACCAATCGGGATGGTTTAAGATGAACAAATTGAGGAAACTGCATTGCCTATCTCTGGTACATAAGACCCTTATCCTTAAAGCGCCATATTATCTTTATACAAAACTAAGCCTCCTCTGCCAGTACGATCAAAGATCCTCTAGGAATAAACTCATCTTACTTATCCCGCGGCATTCGACAGCATTGTTCACACGCAGTTTCTCGTACTTGGCACCCAAACTATATAACTGCTTATCAAGTGAGTATAAAGAATATAGCCTAAGCAATTTTAAAAAAAGGTTAAAGATGAGTTTAAAGCAGTCGGATGGCTAAAATTTTACTTTATGCATATCCACAGGTAATTGATTGTTTCCTTTCTCTGATAAGTGTTATATTCTAAGTTTTTTTTCTCTCTCTCTATAGTTTGTGTCAATGTTTTCCAGGTCGGGTTGAAAAACAGCATAAGCTGACACTCCACCTTTTCGTCACTGTTCCTTTTAAACCAATTATTTTGTAATCGTGTGACGAATAAAGGCCATTTATTATTATTATTATTATTATTATTTGCTGTAAACAAGATGGTTGAACAATATAAAAAATGGCGAAGATTTATAGTGTTATACACAATTTTTTTGGAATACATACTAAGATTATGGGAAACTCTATAGAAGTAATCTATCTTATTCGATGTTTTTGAAATAGTGTATCCATAATGTTCTTACTATCCACATATAGACAGGTACTTACTTTTTTCGGAACTAGCAGAAACAGGTACATCGATTCATTTTTAGTACATACTAAATGAAATCAACCTGTCCTAACTCTTTCCTTTAAAAAATTCCTGAAACAATTGAGCAACTTTTGTTCCCGACATTCTTATATATAGTTGAGACAAATCTAACAAGTACCTGCAAGATTGGCACCACCGCACAGTACAGGTCATATTTGAACATCTGAACACGCGTTGTACCGAATATGGAATATACAAGTTGTTATCAGGGACCGTCGCTCGCCTTGTTGAACTATAGAGATTGATAAAGCCAAGACACCATTTTTGTTCCTTATTATCGAAACGAAATGAACTTCCGGAAATTCTGGAGGCTCCCATTTGTTCACGTCAACGTAAACCCCCGTTGAGTCTCTAGTCGGTCCCTGGACCTCTTTGAGAATCACTGAGTTAGGCTATAATAATGATTGGCCCAATTTTCCATCGTATTTAGTTTTGTGGATTAACTAATCAAAAAGTTATATGCCTATCAGTATGACAGTAACTTTTAATTGAACATTAACAAAAACATAACAAATGTTTTATTATTTATTATACGATAAATAGTACAGATAACTTGGACGTCTCAAATTGTGTGACTGTCTCCCAAATGACACACTTTTGACCTTGACCTTGAAGGTTTAAAAATGATTTATATTATATTGTCAACAGGTATAGAGGAGCCGTGTACGCAGACGCGGGCAAGTTTAACCGTTGCATCGAGCTGTGGAACTACGCGCTGGACATGCAGCAAAGTGTGCTGGACCGACTAAATCCAATGACGCAAAGCAGTCTCTTCAGTTTCACGGAGCTGTTTTCGTTCATGATGGGGGAAGAAGGGAAACAGACAACACGGGGGCGAGTGGTGCCGCCCGTCGACGTCCTGGAGATTCTACACGTGTTTCGTAAGGCTATTAAGGAGGTTGAGTTAGGTGAGAAGTGCTGAATATTAAAACTGATATTTTTTACTGTCCACGCCTACTGGCGATGAAATTGTTACACTTCATGACTACTGTGCCTGGGAGGCAAAAACAGAAGATCCTGATCATTTAAGAAAAAAGTTAGAGTTAAAAAACTTGAGGGTGGGGAGTTGTAAGGGGGTAGGGAGGGTTTATCTCAATTTTTTGATAATAGTACATTCATACGCTCCCATCCTTGGTAATTTTAGGCACCTATTAGACATATTACATACGTCATAGATTTCTCCGTATTTAGCCCTTAAAACATAAAATATTTCTGTCAGACGGATCGCGTATCTACTGGCAGCGGTTGCTGCTTCCGACGGCGTGCCAAGTCACAGCATAGCGTTTCCTATGCTCTGACCGTGCTGCCACTTCTGACAGGGTTAAGTGTCGGGGAGACGCGAAGTTTCCAGATGCGCTATCCGTAATGCAGGGAAAGAATGTCTATGGACTAATTTTTTCTCTTCCAATAATTTTATTCTGCAGATTATACCTGATCTACTCGGGAGAACATTGCAAAATATTTTAACTAGGAGATAGTTATCCTTAAGATAATATTTATCAGAGCACAAAATGCTATTCCTTCGTGAGATAACAATCAGAGAATCATAACAATACCCCAATAGACAGGGCTGCCTTTTAGATACACGCTGGATCTCCTTTGCAGAAGAATTTATCTAATACATTTTAGGATAATTTGATTGTAGGAACCCTAGCTACAAATGCTAATACCACAAAATATAAATACCTGTTTTATTCCATTTTTTAAATAAAATTTGTTACCTAGCATGTCTGCAATTATTACTGTGAGTTCACATACTTAGTTCCTGATTTTATGCTGCATACAAAGGATGTTATCGAATAAATAATACAAGTAGTATGTGAGGTAATAACAAAACTGTTTTTATTTGAAAGGGCTATGCATGCAATCGGTCAACTGCCTGACGCGACTGCGCACAGTAGCACGGATCCAAGAGGTCGAATCTAAATTGGTGGACAGTTGTTACATTTATCAAAAAAATGGACTTTTTGGGAATTTTTCTTGAGAATGGGTATTTTTTCTCATACTGTTGATTGAAACACTCAGTGAACGTGATTACCTCCAGTGGCGTGCAGTAAAAATTTGCTACTTAGACATTATGTAATTTAAACCGAATTTATAAATTCTACTATGCAATTAAACAGCTTAATGAACAAATCCAAGTTACTACTCTTAATATAGGGGTGTGTTCCAATGGCGTAACACTAAAAGCATTTTTTGGTTAATTAAATTGAAAATTTTTATTTTTCAAAATGCTATGATGCTGGTCAATACTGCTATTCATCTTTTATCTGGAATTTTCTATCTTTCTCATTGAGCATTGGCGTACGTGCTTCATTGGAAATGTTTTCCAATAGGTAATAGACTCTATTCAATATTTAAACAAAACATCTAATAATTTATTGATTCACACTAACAATATGTAACATTTTAGGAAACAAAAAATTGAAGGCCGTTAAAAATCTAAATTATTTATTTACGACAAAAACGTACTTTTTACAAAACAGCAACAGTTATTTAAACAAAATTGATAGTACCTTGTAGAGCCCGCACATCGATTACAGCCTGGCATCTTCGTGGCATACTTTCCGGAAGTTTATTAATAAATTCTCTGAATACGTTTTCCCGCTCTTCCTGATGGCCTCAGACAGCTTTTCCATTGTTTGAGGAGCATTTTGCCTTGGCCGCACAAAACATTTTAGCCGAGACCACACATGTTGTTTAGGAGACTTTGACATATGAAATGTTTTACATTCAACCACTGTTGTTCTTCTAACATGGACTTATGTCGGGTTCATGCACGACTTAACGTAATCTAATTTAAGGATCAGCTGTTTCTACACCTGTGTCCTCCAGCCAGAGGGTAACTGCTAGTGATTTCCAGTGGTGGTCAAACGTTTTGGTGACGTCACATCCATTTTTTGACATGATTCGTGTGGTTTCGGAACTCGTCTTACCCTAGGATAGCCCTTTCCATACTGTTCTATGCTCGTATTGACGTAATTATAATAATTCTGTGGTGTCTCGTGTTCCACGACGATTTACGGACAAAGCCAGACGGTGAATCATCTGTTGATTTTGTTTGAGTTGTTGACGAATATGCGATAGAGATTTGTTTTGGTGTTCGTCTTGGGGTGTGTTTTTCTGCCTTGGACTTGTTTTTTGTGCGATTAATTGAGGATGGCCATGCCTAGAGCAAAAAAAACGAGAAGCCGCGCAGGTATCAACTCCTGACCTTGGTGAAGAGGTATCTGCAGAAGACACCTAAACGCAATCGGACGTCGCCAGAGGAGCGCCTAATGATGACGTTGCAGTAAGTATCCAAATCAGTTCATTTTTTCATAAATGACTAAATATATTGAGGTTATGGTCATTTTCTTAATTCAAGGTCACTTCTTAAAATAAAGTTCAATATATTGAACTTTATCTTAAGAACCAACCAGTCGGATCAGGAGCGTTGGTCAGCTGATCGCTACAGCAGGAATTAGAAGATGGGTACGAGCCATCGATACTGTACAAACGTCGATAGTCGATATTTATATCGTGATGTTTGATCGATTTTATATCGCTGTATGGGCAGATGGTTCGGTGATAGTTGTATGAAAAATTATTTACGCTTGCTTACGCATGACAGTTTAGGCTTGGTAAAAAAAAATCAGAGATGTATGTTAAAAATTATAATAAATAAAGTCAGTGGTAATGTTTACTTCATTCCGTAACAAAGTGTGTATAGTGGTAGTTTCAGCAAAACATATCTGTATTGCTACCGCATAAAGTAGATAAAAAAACAGCATGAAAAAAATAAACATGAGTCCTAAATTGCCCCTTACCAAGATAGAGAATGTTGAAATTATATTCTAGAAAACGAAAAAAAAAAATGGAAATAATCTTAAAATTTTGTGCTTGTAGTACTGACTTCATAGCTGATAGATACAAACACTTTCATGTCTGAGACTGTACACTGGTGATGTTGGGAAATTATATCCCCTACAGAAGAAAAAAGAGAATTTAAATCTATACCATGCCCCCCATGACACGTTTTTCCAAAACCTCACAGAACACTGTGAAGGTACTTTGTCATTAACTACGAACCAGGTGTAAACCTGGCCAATGCTGTTTATTCACAGCCCACCAAATATGTAATGTCTTTTGATATTTATTGAGGTAAACAGATGAGTAGCGCGTAACTTCTTTTTGTGACATCTGTACTGTTGGTAATAACAAATCTGCTAAAGTCCAGGACCAAATTAAGGACTGATGTTTGGTATCACCAATGAAAATCTGTTTACACATACATGCTTTCTCTGACTGAGAAGTTTATCAATCAAATGTAAACTGCTAGATTGGGAATTTATACGTAATGTACAGAGCAGTATCATCTGAAGGGGCGTGGTAAGATGAATATGTTTCTGTTTGGTGTTTGCTGACCAAATATGACATTGATATTATGCCAATAATTTTTTGTTTTGTTTCAGAGTGTCAACATCCTTCGAGGAGACAGTAGGAATGAAGATCGTCATTTATTTTATAGATACTAAATTAATTGTCAATGACATCAGCAGTTTTTTCCTAGTTTGAAGAAACATAGTGTTTTACGTGTTTTTTTTGTTGAGGACAATTTTGTTTGCCTTCACCCATTAACAGTGTGTGCAAAATTGTTTTTGATTCACATATCAGAGAGATTATATTTGTATTCTAGTCAGTCCTCTAACTACAGATGTATTTTTAGTTATTTTAGTATTTATGTTTCCGCAATAAATATACATGATCAATTAACAAGAGATAGTGCTTGCATGATATTGCACTGATCGGGTTCATAATATAGAGAAAAATCCAGATGGGTAGAATACTTATGTATGTACAATGTATTGTAATGAAGAATTTGTTCTATTATTGCTGGGACTGTTCAATAACTATTTTTTTAATTATACTTTTTTTTATTATCCTGAAATTCATTACTAGCCAAACTGATGAAAGAAATACTTCCTTTATTGAGGATGTGTTATTCATCTATGATCATCGAACTGCCTCAATATCGGGAAGGTCATCAATCAGATTTCGTAATGTAACAAATTAAATCGCCGGCACATTCCTGATATGTGTTGTCGGCATACTTTCAATATTTATAGTTCCACCAGATTTCCAGCCAAGAAAGGTAGCGCTGCCGTCGAGGTTATAGTCCAAGAAATATCTTCACATCTGCTCAGGAAAATATTCGAATTCGGACTTTTTGCATGTTATTCGAAAAAGCCTCCTAGTAACAAATCTACATGTTGTCAGGCTCCAAATTGCGTCTCTAATTGTTTGTATAACTTTTTCCAATAAATTCCAACAATTAATGTCTTCGCTTCATCAAAGGTAGTATCCGTTTTTTTTTTTTGATACTCCGAAACAAAACGATGTTTGACAATGTTTGTCAAAAGGTTTTTTTGTACGAGATGGGAAAGTACAAAAAATTGCTTTTGCGATACCGAAAAACAATCTGAAAAAACGAAAATGTTAATGTCGCCATGCTTCATAAATAACCATTAACACAATTGCGATACCTTTTAGGAGATACTGTTGTATTTAATTGATATGCAAGCGGACGCTCATTATACAGGGTGTTTCAGTTTATTGTTGCATAACTTTAAGATTTGATAGAACTTTTAAAATTAATGCATAAAGTCTATATAAACAGGGGTCGAAAAATGCGTGGCTTCCGAAATACAGGGTGTTTAAATTTACTTTCTAAAATAGGTTTTTTTTTTAAATATTTCGAACAATATTTGATGTATAACAGTGAAAATTGGTATACAAGGGTTTTTTGGTACGACAAAACGAATTATGGGCATAGTTTTACTGTAGCCGCTAGAGGGCGCTCTCTAGTGTACCTGTAGTGTATTAAAATAACCGAAAAAATTTTCTTAGTGCAATTTTGGGTCTAGTCACATGCAGATTCTTTAATAGAGGTCCTTGAATCAGATTATGCAAAAATCGGAATCGGAAGATTTTTCCGAGCAGATGTTCCGATATTATCTGGACTATTATCCGAGTTCTGTGACTGATTACCAGTGCATTGGCGCACGCGTGTGGGGAGAGGCCACTTGTCAATGTCAAGGCTGGTCCGCCAGTCCACGTAACACAAAAGCCACAACACACTCTTTCATCTGCTACCTTGACGTAAAACATATGATTTTATTAGTGTGTTTAATGTTGATATTGTCGCCATTGCTATATTGGCAATCCTCCGCAATTATAGTGTTATATACAATTTTTTTGGAAGGCATACTGAGATAATGAGAAACTATAGAAGTAACTAATCTTTTTGATATTTTTGAGATAATGTAATCATAATGCTCTTGAAACAGTTTACTATCTAAAATGTTAGAGATAACATTTATATATATATAGTATTCATAGTTAATTGCCTTAACTGTTAGGAGAAAATACCCTTGAATTTCTTTGGGTAGAAGGCAAAGTATTGCAAAAGTACACTCTTATAACTCAAACTCGAGCTTTCGAAGATCTATGTCTTCATCGTCTGGAGCTGGAAACAATTATTGACAATAGCAACAGTTAACAATTAGGAGGAAAAATAATTACTTACTAAGTTGGAGATTGTTGCTGAAATTGTTTTTAGACAACAGTGAAGGAAACACATAGTCAACGAACAAAAAACTGGACTGATGAGGTTCGAGTATGACGGAATTATTTTATTATTAAATGGCAAATCATTTTGAAAGGTTTTTTTTACTTAAACGTTGATTGATTTTGGAAGAAATTTTGGGATTCTAAAACTATCAACTATTGAAAATTTCTTCGAGATTTCATCTTTTTTTTCACTGATAACCTCCACATTATCCAACACGTGCCGGCCGACTACAGTGGCGTATGAAGAGTGACATTGAAATTATTGGTATGTCATTTATTATGTCGTAAGTGTGACGTGTGTTGCCTACTATGCAGGGTGTTTAGTAATATAGTTCAAGAGGTTATTTTCAAAACTTGATAGAAGTTGCTTTGGAAGTAGTGTGATTTGGATGTTATCCTACCAAACAACTAGGAAATCTGTAGGAAATATTCACACTTGAGGACAAAAGACTTTGAGCAATTTTGATATTTATTTTATTAAGATAGTGAAAAATTATTATGTATACGTAGATTGAACGATTATTGAGAGAAGTCGATGTTGGGGGAGATATGTTGCTTTTCCAATTTTTCGCAGTTCAGCAAATATGTATAGATGACGCTAAGTTGATTGACATCAGGTTTTTTGTTCATTCAATTGTCTGTCATGAAGTTATGTGACATTTCCAGAAACAGGCGTTGTGATAGATAATTTTGTCTGTCCAGCACCTTGATATCATGCCCGACTGCATCCAGAAAGATGTGGTCTAGCTTCACACGTCAACTCCACAGGGCATCAAATGAGATACAATGATATCAAGGTGCTGGACAGAGAAAATTATCTATCAAAACGCCTGTTTCTCAAAATGTCATATATCTTCATGACAGCCAATTGCATGAACAAAAAAGCCGATGTCAATCAACTTAGCGTCGTCCAGTTTTTTGCCGACTTAGTAAGTAACTATTTTTCCTCATAATTGTTAATTGTTGCTATTGTCAATAATTGTTTCCAGCTCCAGACGATGAAGGACATAGATCTTCGAAAGCTCGAGTTTAAGTTATAAGAGTGTACTTTTGCAATACCTTGCCTTCTACCCAAAGAAATTTATATATATATATATATATATATAGTAATGGACAAAAGTATATAGACAAATTAATATTGTGCTGTATTTCTTTTTTAACTTGTTTTATTAATACACCAATCTGTATACATAATTCGTTATAGCATAATACTCACTTATACATAAATAAATTCATTAGACTCCCTTCAACAAAAAATTATTTGAAAAAAACTGGAACTATGAAGGACAAAAATATATAGACAAAGCAAAACAATTATAGAAAAAAGATGCAAAGTTTATCGAATTATAGAAAACCAACCATGTTTGTGTTAATATTTTGTAACATAACCATTATTATCAATCACCGTCTGGCATCGTCTCGGCATAGATTGTAGAAGTTTCTTGATATAAGATTCATCAATCTGTCTCCACTTTTGCTCTAAAGCGGCAAAAAGTGCATCCTTGTTTGAATAATTTTTATCTCGTATTTGCTTATCTAAGTATTTCCGTAGATTTTCAATGGGGTTTATATCGGAAGACTGTGAATGCCATTTGAGAACTGGTATTTTTTCATCCAGAAAGAATTTCTTTGCGAGATTTGAAGTGTGCTACGGGTCATTATCTTGCTGGAAGATTGATCTTAAGGGTATATTGTCTTCCATATAGGGTAACATGGCATGCTTTAGTATGTCTGTGTATACAAACTTATCCATAATGCCATCTATTCTATGTAAAGGTCCCATCCCAAACCCCGAAAAGCACCCCCTAACCATAACAGACCCGCCTCCATGTTTGACAGTGGGCAAAGTGTACTTGGGGTTCAATCTTTGTCCACTAGGACGTCTAACGTAATGGCTGACCTGATCCAAACATATTGAACTTGGATTCGTCACTGAAACATACGCTTTTCCAGTCACAGATGCTCCAATCAAGATGCAACCGAGCAAATTGTAATCGGTCCTTACGGTTTTTCCTCGAGATAGCGGCTTCTTTCTCGGGCGACGTGCAAATAACTTCAAATCATTTAATCTTCTACTTATAGTTTTCGTAGAAACACTGACAATTCCTTTTGTCTCGATATCGGCTTTTATTTGTCTTGGGGTTTTAAACGGATCTTTGGACGAAATTACTTTTATTAATCTAACTGATCTAGTTTTCTAGGCCGACCACTTCTGTTAGAGGCTTCCAAGATACCTTTTTGATTATATTTGTTCAATATTGCCCAAACTGCTTTACGCTTCAGCTTCAAATTTTTGGCAATATCGACTTGACATTGACCATCTTTGTATAACTCAATGATCTTAGTTTTCACATCGAAAGAAATTTCTGGACCACGCGGCATGGTCTTAAAATCACTCAACTTATTCCAGAATACTTGATGAACACAAACTAATCATCTTCTGATACGAAACTGTACTAAACTAATGTTGAAAAGAATTTGTCTACAAGTTTTTGTCCCTCATAAAAAAGTGCTTATATTCAGACTTGTATTGTGTTCATTGCAGATAATGTAAAAACAAGGAATTTAGTTTTTCTACTAATAACGCATTTGTTTATGGAGCAATGAAGTATGAATTCGTTTTCTAAAGGTATTTAGGTAAATATTCATATTTGTCTATATACTTTTGTCCGTTACTGTATATATAAAACAGGAAAATAATGGGCAAAATCCGCAAAAGGCCGCTTCTTCCAAAAAGAAGAAATAAAAAAATAATGTAGACGTGTTGCAACGTCTGATCCTTCAAAATCAAAGTGACGTCATTTCATTAACAATTTCTCCCTATCTATAGACTCAAATGCCCTTTTGAGGTATAAAAATACTTTTACAATACATTCTTTCTCATCTGTACTTCTCCAGTCTTCAACCACCTTTTGGATTGCTGATTTTGTATGTTTTTTAAATCCAAGTTGGTTTGTTGTCAAAATTGTGTTTTCTTCAATGAATTCAATGATTTATTCGTATATTTGAACAGCTCGTCGACATCTGGCAAGACATTAATCGGCCGCATATGTATATATAGCTCAAAATGTTGAACTTTTGGCGCAGGAGTAATGGAATTCACCATGTACAATCATTCACCAGTAATAATAATTTCTCTCCAATTATATTGAAACAACATTTTCTTAGATTGTTAATGTTTATTGTCCTATGCGGTCATCAGTCATTATCATTATCAGCAGTACAAAACTTGCGGTTGTATGAGAACAATGTTTTATTTGGATCATTTCTCTTTTTCCAGGAAGTATAATGGTAGAACGAATCCCTCTGGCGGAAAGAGACATGAACTACCTGACGAGGGTAATGGTGATCACATTGCATCTCGCCTCTCTGTTGACCAGACTGTTAGAGCATAGGCCTTCTTCAGATGAAGTATCTCAACAAATTCACAAATCTATCTACGATCTCGTTAAATTAAAGGTAATATATCAGATACGAACAGTAATTGATGAGTCATCTCATTACTGATATCGTTAACAGATAATTCAATTGTATATAGTCACATTTTCTAGCGTCAGTTTCTATGTTGTTTGTAGCTACATTGAATGAACATGACTAGAAATTTTGAGTAACAATGAAATGAATAAATACTCTGCTAGTCAAAATAACCGTAATTTCAGACGGTCAAATAACATTTCTGTCGTGTTGAATATTATACAAGAAAACTAAGGTCTGACATACTTTACAAAAAAAGATTTTTCTCTCAGAGACAGTTCTAGATATTTCTTATGTTTAGTCAAACTATTATTGCGGAGCGACTCCTCAATCTCCGATATCGGCAATCACCCTGCTTCAGTTCTACTCGGTGAAGTCATTGCCCATAGTATGCTCTTGATGGGATTAAACAAGACTGATGCAGCAGGTCGTGCAGTCGGAGCATGGCGCTATTACCTAAGGACTGACCAAGCTGTTGACCAGCCCTCCTTTTTTCCGGGTATCGGCACACTCCAGAACTGGCTGTGGCGGCAGAAACTCGCCCAGGCCGCAAAATTTGGCATTACGGTCCTGCTGACTGGGAGGGGCTCAGAGAGTTTTTCTCCACCTTTCCTTGGAGATATGTTTGTTTTGCTGACGTCGATGCTTCGGCTGTCTGTTCATCAATAACCTAAATTATCTACGTTGGGATGAAGGAATACCTCCCTCATCCCATGAAAGTGCCTAAACCAGGGTCCAATGGCTTGTTCAACAAATCGTGCTCGTCAGCAGAAGATCAAGGCACACAGAACCTTCTCATAAAACTCCACTGTAGAGAACAGAAAAGCCAACGTCGAGTCCAGAAACAAAAAAATCAAAGCGGTTCGCAATGCCGAATACAAGCACGTTGTAAAAATTACGCACAGGGTAATGTCGCAGGGCAATGGCAGTCGGTCTTTCTGGACGCTGGCCAAGCAGATTGAAAAGAACTTCTCACAGAGCAGCCTTCGGCCACTTACAGGCCAGGATGAAACGGTTAAGGCGGAAGTGCTTGCCAAGATCTTTACTGCCAACTCCACTATATGAACGTCCCCTTCAACGCCAGAGTGCTGGAGATTCAAAGAGTTCCCTATACTAAGAGGAAAGTAACATTCTGTCATAGGACCATAAGACTAGTGCTCCTGACGCTTGACATCAATAAAGCTTCTGATCCGGACCTGATTCCTAATGTTGTATTAAAAGATGTGTAGCGGAGCTTGCTCCAGTTCTTTCGCATATCGTCCATATATCTTACGAATCCGGCACCTTTCCAGAAAACTGGAAATTTGCTCATGTCCAACCCATCCAAAAAGGTTCTAAGACCGACCCTAACAACTATGGATTTTCGACTCTGCTTCCTAAGTAAGGCGTGCCTCGAACGTCACGACTTGAAGTATGGTTTCCGGCACCAGCGATCCAGAACTGCCGGATACGACCTTTCCTTTGTCCCTAGGAGGATGGGATTGTGGGACAATCTACATGAGGAGACTTAGTTGCCAACCTGATATATATTGTAGTTATTACCTATATTTATTTCTATAATTCATAATCGATGCAATATTTATTTTTTAGGTGAGGGCCAAACAAGGCAGGACTATGTTGCACCTTGCTTGCTGTAGAGATGCATCTATCCTAGGAAGGTATCCAGCCAGTCAGTTTCCATCTCCTCATTTAGCAGAGGTGAGACAAATATACCTCATATGTCATTTTGCCCCGCAATAATGTTTACTCCTATTATCGGAAATTCGTTAACAAAATTGAAATAAGATAGCGCAAAGCGTCATCTATCGAACTAGAATCGACCACTGCGCATAAGCTGCTATTAGTTGGAACTGTTAGGGATCTTTAATAGACCATTCACCAACGTGACTGCTAAATGACTGAAGTAGATGTGGTCTACTTGCCATTGAAACAAATATGTCATTCGCGATCGTTTCTTTTTTTATATGAAGCAGCCGCGCATGCAGAAGCCTAAATTCCGAAACACCGCGGCTGCGATGATGATCCTCAAGAAATTTTGTTAATACGATTTTTGAACTGCCTAAGGTTAGAACTGGGAAAAGCTCCTTCTTGTAGATTTTTCCACAATCTCGACACCCTCGGGACAAAGGATCGGTCGTATCGGCCAGTTCTGGATGTACGAAGTTCGACACGGTTAGGATGGGACGCCAAAGTCAGGCGAGTTTGTCTGGCAGGCACATCGCGCCGCGGCATCATGAAAGAGAGCTCTGAGGAGCAAAGCTCGTTGGTGTAGCCGTAGAAAAGAGCTAGATCGCCGACAGCCTGCTGGCGCCGGTGCGAAAGAGTCCCGAGACTGTATTTTAGAGAAGAGTCTTCGATCAGTCGGACCGGACTCCTCTTGGAAATGAATGGCTCTTTGGCAGAACTCGGCCAACCATCGAAACCGGATGAGCGCTAGGACGCTTTTTGTTCGTCAAAGTACAGACCTGTGTTTTAGAAGCATTAAACGGTACAAGATTGTTGCGCCCCAAGTAGTGATAGCCTCCAGGTCTCTTGTCAGAGAGGAAGTCGTCGCTAGTCTTCTTTTTTCCAGCTCAGCGGCAGAGATCGGCTTGTCACTCTGAATTCCTGCATGTAGAGTGCTGTCATCAGCGAAGCTGTGGATTAGGTTGATCGTGCAGGAAAGGAGGTCGTTTATACCTGTATGTAAGAGGAACAGTGTCGTAGTCAAGACCGATCTCTGGGGAACACCCGCGTTGACGTTGTGGGATGAAGAGGAGAACCCGTCAATTACGACGGATATCTTGCGGCCAGAAATAAAGTCAGGCACCCATCTGCAAAGATTTTCTGGGAGGCCATAGGATGGAGGTTTGCTGAAGAGGGCAGCGTGCCACAGCTGATCGAACGCTTTCGTGATGTCAAGAGCAACGACATGAGCCTCACCATAAGACTGGATGAGTTTACTCCACAATTGCGTGACGTAAGCTAGGAGATCCCCTGTGGATCGTTGGTGCCGGAAACCATACTGAATGTCGCTAATCAAGCTGTGATCGAGGTAGTCCAGAAGATCGCGATTTATGTGCCTCTCCATCACCTTACTTATAACAGAAAGCAGAGCTATAGGCCTGTAGTTTGTTAACGTCGAGCGACAAGAGCACTCGTCTTACAGTCTTATGCCTGAATGTTACCTCCCGCATAGTGTAGGGAACCCTTTGAATTGACGGCACTGCCATTGCGCTGCGACATTACCCTGTGCCTAACTTTTATATCGTGCTGGTTTTTGGCATTGCGAACCGTTTCATTATATTTGTTTCTGGACTCGACGTCGGCTTGTCACACGATTCGTTAAACCAGTCGTTGGACCCTGGTTTAGGCACTTTCACTGTGTGAGGGATGTATTCCTCCATTCCGACGTGGATAATTTCGGTTATCGGAGTACAGACAGCCGACGCAACCGCGTCTGTGTAACAGACATCTCTCCAATGAATGCTAGAGAAGAAGTCTCTTAGCCCCACCCAGTCGGCATGACCGTAATGCCAAGTTTTGTGGTCTGTACGAGTTTCTGCTGCCACAGCGGATTCTGATCGAAACCTAACCTCCACAACACCGTGGTCTGAGTTACCCAGGGGGGACAGGACAGCAGTGCTGTAAGGGACAGGATGTAGGGCTCGTCACCTGCTGGGTCAGCCCTTGAGTAAGAGCGAACGCTTCGACTGCGCGACCTGCTGCATCGGTCGTGCTTGAGCCCAACCAAAGCTCATTATGGGCATTGAAATCATCGAGAAGAACTACCTCTGAAACGGGGTGATTGATGTTCAGGAAATCGATCTTGACGGCGAGGTTTCAGGTAGGTCATCCCAGTTATGGTCCGAGGGAGAGCGATAAAGGCAGCAAATGAATTTGGGCGATGTTTTGGAGTTGAGGCAAAGCCACAGAATGTCCTTCCGGTCTGATTCTAAAGAAACATCTCTGGAGCCGGAAAGACTGCTGCGGACAAAAGCCACCACTCGTAAATTGGGAAGTTAAGATGGTTAATCGGTGCAGACTCTGAGATTTTTGTCTCCGCCGAAAAAAGCATGGCGGGACGATTGGATTGCAGGTAGTGATGAACAGCATCAATGTTGCTGTTAATCCCGCAGATGTTCGTAAAACAAATTTTATCTTCGATGTTGTTACCTGGAGCCCTCCACCCGGTCGTTTCGAGAGTGGAGTGAGTATCACGTACATAGTCGGTCGGTATAAAAAAAGTGAATTCCTGTACTTGTAGAAAAAAACATACTTGCTATATGTGCTGCAAATTCTGAGAAAACATGCTTGTGATCGTTAGATGCTGCTGAAAGTAGGAGCTGACCCTTGTGCCGTTGACGACGAGGGCAACACCCCCCTGCACCTAGCCGCCCAGGCGCGTCCTTGTCCTGCAGGCGTGACTCGCGCCCTACTTGACGGGGGTGCACACTTGGACCTGGTCAACGCAGATGGGCAAACCTTCGCGCATCTGCTGAAGAGCCAGAAGCCGCATGAACTTGTGAACGTTGCCAGGTAAGCTAATTCCATCTTAAATATCTCAATTGTGTCGGTGTCTTTAATAACTGTAGATCAAGCTTAACAGAGAAAGACGTTAAACCAATTCAAACAAATGAAAGCTGGGCCAGGAATATCACTTTACGATATTGATCTCATTTTTTTTAAATTTGACACGAAACACTACCCATTATACAATATACCTATTATACAAATACTATTTAGATAAAACAAAACTAATAAACAACATGAGTAACGAAAAATGTCTTGATATATTAAATACCGAAAACATAGATATAGCTACCAATACCATCATAAAAAATGCAATATTATGTTGATATAAGCACCAATAAAATTAAACTAAAAAGATGCAGTGTTAAAAGAAAAAATGGATCAACAATGACGTTCGTACAGAAATAAAAAGAAAGACAAATTTTATAAAACTAATCCTACAATAGAAAACATAAATAGTTATCCAAAAACTAGAAATACTCGTAAGCTAACTAAAAAATCAAAAAAGTCAAGAAAGATTATATCCCAAAAAGGATTAGTGACAAATGGAAACAATTCTACTTCATTATGGAATGCCTTGAAAGAAACGGAAATAAAAGAGGAAAATACCACAATTAATTTGATAAAAAATGAACATAATCATATATTTAAATCAAAACAAAAAATCGCAAAAAAAATGTGGAATATTTTTCTAATATATGTTAGGAGGGGTACCCAAGAATCAAATTAAAAAAACTTGAGGTAGTGTGTCTCTACAGAAAAAATACACATTAACATAAATTTATTCTACTTAACGAATACTGATGAAAACAACGACATTATTGAAAATATAATAAACAAAAAATCGCCAGCTTATAAGAGCAGAAACTGTAAAAGCTATAGCTATATAGTTAAACCTCTTACATTCATAATAAATTGGATTTTTGAAACTCGTGATTATCCCAAGAAGGAAAATAAATTTGAGCAGAAAGTAGGTTAGGTAACCTGAGCGAACGTATTTCTGCTTGTTGGCTTCATCAGGCCCTAAACGAGTGATGCACATATACAACCACAAAAGTAGATACACATGCCCATACATCCGGATACGGGTGTAACCTAAGGAAACAAAGATGGAGAGGGAAAAATGACACACAAAGTCCCCAACAAGAGCCAACCTACACGTTGTAGTATAAAATGGCTAGAAGACCTCGAATTTTCAATGTGACATCTAATCACAACCACGCGGCCGGTTATAGCCACTTGCTGTGGTACGTATAAGAAATGAAACTCAGTGTGGTTTCGGTTCGAAACTATAGCAGGAACTTTATTGGATGAAAACAGGATGACAACAACGCTAGTTACATTTCATATTCAGTTTATAAGAAGTAAAATATAGCAAAATGCAAAGTCAGGAATGTTCTCATAAAGATAACCCCTAACGCTGTAACTAGAAACCGGATGGACGGCGCTAATCACAAGGGCATCGGGACGGTGTTAGCCATACCGTTGAAATGGTAATCATCAGGATTCCATAACTCCTCCCTCCTCGGAAAGATTGGTCTCCAATCTCAAAAAATGATTTGAACTTTTAATTTGAAGGAGAAGTTTCTTAAATATCACTACTTTGAGGTGGAGTTTTAGTATCCTTTACATAACGGTATCTAACAAAAATTGTTATAAATAAAACCAATAAAAGAATTACAGTAGTAAAAATAACAGGATAACTTATAGTAGAATGAAACTGTAAATCTTCAAAATGAACTTGAAGTGAAGTGAGATTTTTTTCGAAATAAGATTCGAGTGAAGTGTTTGTTTTCTTAAATGAATATTTATCGTTGTCACCTCTGAAGGATAATTCTAATTCAATTTCATAATTAGAGTCAAATTCTAATATTCCTTTACAATCCTTGATTTTTGTTAAAACATTAGTGTCGATTACATAATTGTTCTTACTTAATTCTAGGATTCGCGTGTAGTTTACTAGACTTTCAGACTCGCAAGTGTCTAACTTAAGTGGTTGACATGGCGACTGGAAAGTATTCGCGCAAACATACAGCTGATTGCTTAACTCTATAATATTTTTGCAATAATAATACTTTTCAAAGTATAAAATAATGGTAATTTTACTAATTCTTTTTTGACTGTGATTGAAAATAACTTGAATAAGGAATAAGTTCTAACATCTAAAATGGGAAACTCAACTACAAATATGAGTTGGTTTTCTAAAAGTATAAGTGATAAAAGGGAAAGATCATAAATCTCAAATAAATGTATTTTGTCGAATGGCAATAATTCTTCGACTTTATAAATGGATTTTAAATGTTCAATAAGTAAGGTAATCTGATGATGAGATAATTGTAAGGCGTTGAGACCTGTTTGCTGGTTCAATTGTAGAACTAATAAAAGTGAATTTAGATATGAATTAAATCGTTGCAAATTTGTAATAATTGAGATCTGATGGATCGTCTGGTGTGATAACAAAGACTGATGTTCAATAGTTTGGACATTATGAATGATAATTGACTGAATTCTTCTTGTATTATTTTCAAAAGTTTCTTGAAGAGATGACTTTCAAGCAAGCTATTCTGGTTATTTCTGATTTTTCAAAATAAGATCTAAATCGTTTTGATCAAGGTTGCCAGAAATAAAACGAATTATAGAACCTAAACCGTTTATAAGTCCGCGTTTGATTTTATGGTGTGTTAAAGTTTAGAACTTGGGCGAATGACTTCATCCTCTAGAAGTTTAGTGACTTGTTTTTGAATTTCTTGTTTCAAGAAATAGGGATAACGAAAAGATTTAACGAAAATAGGATCATCATTAGATGTTCGATTAAAATGCTTAGTAGCTGTGCAGGGTTTTAATTTTTCGTTGGGCTTTAAGAAAGCTTGAGGGAAGTTTTTACACAGATTTAAAATGTGAAGTCTTTCTTCGGAATTCATGTGTTCTGTACGAATAAGATCAGACATGTTCGGAGATTTGGGCAAGGGATTAGGATTCGAAATTTCATAATCGGAAATTGATTCGAATTGAATGTTATGACTTTCAATTGATTTGAGATTTTCAGGAAATAGAATCTTTTTATCTATGACAGGACAAATATAACTAGGAGTGTAATTTTCTGAATTCGAGTATTTGACAGAGGGGATAAATACAGAATCTTCATTTGTGTCTATAGGAATGGGGTCGAAAATCTGATTGGGAATTTTGATTGGTTCCTTATGAGTATGACATAGAATTTCAAAGTTTTCGATGTAAAGTAAATTATGGGAAATGTAAAAATTACTGTGGAATTTCTGTAGGTCATAGTCACCTAAAAGACAATCATATTTTTGATGCCATGGGAGTAATAAGAATTCAACTTCTGTTGGAATACCTAGATCATCAAGAATAAGTAAATCCAAAGCTTCATTGTAGAGATATGGGAGATGAATATTTTCATAAGAGTTTAAATCAATGTCTATTCTGGGGAGTGTTGATGAGGAGTTGATTGACAATTTTCTTGAGAATAATCGTTTTCATAATATTGAAATTGATCTTGTACGAGATTTTCTGGACAACAAGCTTCAGAATAATAAGATTCCAAGGGGTTTGCTACATTTTCTGTAGAGCTTTCATTAGTGGGTTCGGATTCGTTATTAGTAAGTTCTTGAACAGCTATGCTAGGGCGTTGACCATTATTCGAAAAGAAATTGGGTCTTACAAAAGGTCTACGTGACTGGATCGTCGAAGTTGACATAGGCGTAGGATGATTTTGATTATTTTGTCTTGAAGTATTGGTGACAGGGAGCCTATTCATAGGAAATTGTGGACGATTTGCAAAATTGTGTTGAGAGGGGTTGAATGCGTTCAAAAATTGACGACTTTGTGGGAAAGTATAGAATGGTAGAAGTTGGACGAGAATTGTGAAATGAGAAACTCTTTATATTGTTTGGTTTGCAAAAGGTTGTCGTGTTCTTGGCACCGTCTCTTAGCTTCATCTATATTTTTAGGGGGTGATTGTAATGCAACGCAATGATATTTGGAATTGATTCCGCATAAAAAGGAGGTTAAAGCCATCTGTTCATATCTAGCAATCATTGCTGGGGCAATTTCTGGAGGATAATTTAATCGAGCAAATTCTCGTAATTCATGAAGTTTGTTACAAATTTCTGAATGTAAAACGCTATAGTCTGGGGAATGAATACCAAAAAGTTGACGAGTCAAATTTTCTTCAGTTTGGTAATCTTTAAATCTAGTGGTTAAAATAGCAGAAAGATGTTCAATAGTAATAGGATTAGTTTGTTCTGTAAATTCGGCAGGTTCACCTTGTAATCTAGACTTAATAAATGTTAAAGCATGTCCTTTATAGGAAATGGGTAAAGCGTTATAAAATTCTGTAGACTTTCTTAAAAATGTAGAAAGATTGTTTGAATAGCCATCAAATATAGGAATTGAGTCTTTTAGCATGTTAAAAATTAATTGAGCATTGTCGTGCTGAACGACATTCTGTTGATTTGAGGTAGCCATTCTCAAAGGAGATCTTTCTCTTTCGATGGGTACAAAACGATTAACAAGAGGCATAAAATAAAATGTATAAAAGATGCAGGATAAATATGAGTAAAAATAGGTGAAAACAAAACTTAAAGCTATGCACAAAATTAGATTTCAATTGAAAAACGCAAACTTGGATTCTTCAGGAAAAATCTTCTTTGTAGAGATGTGTTTTTTGATAATATATATATATATATATATATATATATATATATATATATATAGTTTCGAGACTGTGGAACAATCTACAAGAGGAAGCTTTTCCCATTTCTACTAACCTTAGACAGTTCAAAAATCGTATTAACAAAATTTCTTATATATATATATATATCGAAGCACTCGCGCCGAAACACCAAAGAAATTTTGTTAATACGATTTTTGAACTGTCTAAGGTTAGTAGAAATGGGAAAAGCTTCCTCTTGTAGATTGTTCCACAGTCTCGAAACTCTCGGGACAAAGGGGCGGTCGTATCGCCCAGTTCTGGATGAACGAAGCTCGACATGGTTAGGATGGGACGTCAAAGTTAGGCGGATCTATCTGGCAGGCACATCGCGCGGCGGCATCATGGAAGAGAGCTCCGAGGAGCAAAGCCCGTTGGTGTAGCGGCAGAAAAGAACTAGATCGCCGAAGGCCTGCCGGTGCATCGTGTATAGTATAAAATAATAAAATTAAACAGTCAATTCCATGCAATTCAAACAAAAATAATATCCTTTAAAATACAAACAAGTAGTAAATCAATCTAGAATTCTCAAAAAAAAAAAACAGTTTCTGTATAAATCCATAAACAAAAGTAACAAATAAACAAACCACATTCTTATAAAAATCTAATACGAGCCACGTAGCAGTCTAAAAAAATGACATATTGTTATTCAAAACAGATTTCCAGTATACAGTGAAAATTTTTCTATACTATACACTGAAAAAAACCTCCGTCCCATTCCCCCAAGTTGGGAATATCATTTCAAAGCGAAGCCTCACTAAGTTTTTCAAAAAGCTTTGTGAAAACAGTTTAGCTACAGTTTGCTTTCAGTAGCAACACAACAGGAAAATGAACAAAAAATCAGACAGAATTTTTTTCTTAGGATGCGATTAGAGGTAATAATAGCCAGCCTTCTGAATACTAAATCCACTAAAGGTAAGACTCAAATAGAAAAATACGACTTTTTTTCTAGCTACTGTCAAACTCATTGTGAGCCAAAAACACAAAATACAGCTTTTGTCTTTGAGGTGCCGCGCCGCTGACTGCATAAGCGTACCCGCTGGTTGTTCCACTTCCACATTCATAAGAAAAAATTACATGGATTACTCTTAATGCCTATTGAAATTTAAAATATTATCTTTTTTCTCAAATGTCTGGTAGCATTTTATGACTAAAAACAGGATAATTTCTTTGATTAATTCATTAAGTTGTAAATTGAATCAAGAAGGACTTATTCATTTCTTATTTACTTCGTCGCCGTCGCTGGATGGATGCAAACCCAATGATATGAGAAAGAAGGGCGGAACTCTTTAAGTTGGGCCCATAGACCCCACGCCTCTGTTCCTATTCTGGTATGGGCACACCGGCGTATTCATGGGAGGGCTTTGGGGCTCCTCGGAGTTTCCCTTCCCGAAGCGCAACAGCTCATTAGGCTTCTTCTACATATTACAGCATGTTATACCTTCTGTGAAGTGTGCTACCTGGACTAAGTGAGTTTCCCCCCCTGCTATGCAGTTTTCTCCATGACCCTGGATCCTGAGCCTCCTCCCAGATCTTTTTCTGGATAACACCACTCGTTGAGCAGTATCTCAATCTACAGGAAACGATTACTATCGCGAAATCAACCACAACAGTGGCTCCTACAAATCACTTTTATGGGCACCCTTAAAATTTCCGTCATCGCACTAAACTAGGAAGTCACATATGAATAAATTTAATAAATCATAACTGATCATAATTGTTTGTATTAGCATTGGGAGGATTTCTGGAAAACCAAAAATTCTATATACTTGGATTTCTGCTTAAAGTGGCTGAACCTACCAGTATGTCTACAAAGTAAGAAGCATGTAGACCAGAATGCAGTTTTGTATAGACACGGAAAGTGGTTAAACTGAATACTGGTGAAATACTTTTCAGAGCTAATGAAATTAGTTGCAAGAAGGATAAATAGCCAGCGCTAATTTCGTAAAGTAAACCGTTTTTAATATTTATATTTTAAAAGTGTCCAAACGTTAGGTAGCCTAGCTCTTACGGCTTGTCTATTCAATACCTAAGATCCAACCTACTAACTATATCAGAATTAATCAAACAACCTGCTTCTGCCTGAATATTGAAATTTGAAGGAAATATTTTGCTTTTGAAAAGCCTGGATATATATTACAAATAAAGATGTAATCTGCTTTGAAAATCACACCGTATTGAGAATTTAATTAAACCTGCACCTCATCAACAGCAATAGCCCACCGCCACTGGAGACAACTCAATCAAGCCACGCGCCTCTATAGAATGCGGTTCCTTTTATCTATAATTTATTGCTCGGACATTACCTTACAGTATCCGCGCTAATACAACGTTGCAGTTCAGTATTTTGGGAGGCCAGAAGATGAAAGAGGTATGTGCAACTTGGATTGCAGATTTTTGTACAAAAGTTACTATTATATTTTCCACATTCTACAGATGTTTGTTGATTTCTAAATTTTTTGGTAGAGTGGTTGAATTTATAATAATTTTTACATTGAGTCACATGATTGTTATCGAATACATGTAATTTTTGAAAACCTAAAAATATTTTACCACAACATATTTTCTTCTACAATATTGTGGTAGACTGGTCCAGTTACATCAGCGTAAATTATGTAGGTGTTTCTGGTTTTAGTTTCATAAATATAGGTTATATGTAGGTCTTCTTCTTTGAAGTTGGTTTGGTACACTAAATTCTGTTTTATGTCCTCTTCGCTTGGTATTTTCTTAATGCTATTTCCGGTAATTTTTATCCTGGGTCTCTTCTTCTGCTATTCAATAATTTCGTATTTTTCAGTTACCTGAGCTGTTTTAATTTAGAACTATCTTCGTGGACTTTTATCAGAATTTTTCCATTGTTTAAATCTTTCATCGAGTTCATGTTAATTTTCAACTTTGCCAGATTTGTTTTTTCAAGGTCGTGTCTTGTTTCTTGTATTCTTTGTTTGGTTTAATTATTATTGTTTTAGTGTTTATTATCTTCTGAGTTAATATTTCTCCTTTTACTTTGGGCTATTTCTGCATATGTTTTAAGCTGGCTTTGTTAAATAGGTAGGTTTCGTATATTTTGTATTTTTTCACTTATCTTTTCTAGACTTGTCATCATTGTGTCTTTTTCTTCAATATTATTTAGGATGAGTTGATAATGATTTTGTAGATTTTTTTGTCTTATGTGTCTTCGATGGATTTATTCTTCTCTTCAATAACTTGTTCTAATTCCAGTAATTGGTGATTATTCCTTTCCAGTATTTGTTTTAGGGCTCTATTCCCTGCTTCAATTTGTTTCCAGTAGGATTAGCTAGACCTAATTTTTGACATTAGAATTAACAAAAAGTATTTCCAGAGGTAATGACTGAAATCTCTTCCGTCTGGGATCTGCAGTTGTAAATAGGTGTGGCCATATATATTTTGTTAGTCTTCCCGGTGAGCCCTGCTTGATATTTTTATGTGTGTTCTTTGGCAATATTTCGCGTCTGTGTTGGAGCGAATACAAAGAGCAAGTGTAGTAGTGAAGTTTTTTAATATTAATAATTAAAACAATAGAATTGTTCCTTTAGGTAGGCAAACTGTGTCTTTCTAATATGTTTCCTTTTTAGGTACACAAAGCTGAGTTGTTCTGCAGCTAGAGTGATCAGACAGTTCAAGATACCATACAAAGGCGCCGTGCCAGCGGCGTTGGAGTCCTTCATCGCGTGCCATTGAACTCCTTTTGTTTTAAGGGGAAGGAGAGCGGTTGAAAGGAGACGTTATACTTAGGCCAGTTCTCGAAAATAACAATATTTACAGTCACGCATATTTACGTTTTTTGGAGAGCCAGTGCTTTGATTTGCCTTAAGAAATAGACATTGTCAGGTCTTGGACAATAGTTGAATATAATAAGAGCACAAATGTGAATTATCTCCACAAGACCCCTCTGTAAAAGTTCACAAATAGAATCAGCTCCTTCAAGAATACAATGTATGTTACTGAAACAGTTTTGAAACGGAAATACGAAATATAATTTGCAAGCACCTTGTTTGTTAATGCGTCTTTTTACGGATTTTGAACTTTTATGCATCCATCTGCCTCATACATACATACCCAATCAGCCTCTGTTGTCAACGTATGTCTTCCACATGTATGCTTGTCACTGTCATACACGCCCTTGCAATGAGCGTGTGATTTGAGTGACAATGTTTACAGTTTTTACTTCATCTATTGGTGTATATTCAAGGTCAAGGTTAATAACAACTCTATTACCCAATTTATGTGCGCAAGAGGAGTAGCAGCTGCGTTAAAGATCTGTTTCTGCAGTGTGAAATTGTCCTTGGAACAGTGAAGTAATATCCGTACATATTAGAGATAGTCGATGACATTGATAACTGGCAAAATCTGTGAAAAGCTCTATACCTTCAATTAACTAGTTTCGTCTGCGCCTTCTGTTCGGTATCGATTCCAAAGCACTACGCTTGCGGACTTGAAATATCAGCGTCGTGGTGAGAAGTTCGGCGTGAACTTTTAGTAACAGTTCTGCGTTATCGAATCTATTCAGAATTGATTCTGGATATGTCATAACGATTATCGTTAAACTGATACTAAGAGTTCAAGATTTTTCTCGTCGAGAACGCCGATTTTGCAAGTGCGCATGCGTTGTGTTTAGAAATCGGTGTCGATTGTGTCCCGCGAACGACGCTGCTGATGATTCTTAAGTATTTTGTTTGAGGATGAAACAAAGCACTGGCATGATAGATAATGTAACTGATACGTAGATAGCAAGTGAGTTCCAATCAAATTTGACCTCATGAAGACCTTTCGAGGCCTAATAGATTTTATTTAGCATATTCTATCATAGAATATAAACCAGTTTGAACCAAATCAAATCAAAATGTACACAATGTTTGACAAAACACTGCACATCGATACAGATATTCAGTATCGAGTCTAACAAAAATCATTGACCCTTAGACATCAAGCATGGAGCCTAATATACCACGAGAACCCGCCAAATGAGAAAAAACACCCCAGAACTTGACGCCTGACTGAAGCGCGTACCAGCGCATGGCATCCGAGGTTATAATACGAGATCCGGCGCTGAATCTGTTTATTTCATGTCACAAATTTCCAAATTTTGCTTTCATAATCTGTACGGCTTATTGAAGGTGGTCTCACGGGCTGCAGCAGTATCCCATGTCTATGCTGACGGAGAATACCGAAAACGGCCGATTACAAATTTAGTCTATGCCCTACGCTTCTATCCCTGTTGCGCAGAACTGTTTTATCTGCGGGAGGGTGCAATTCCTGTTTTTGAAATGGTATAGTTCTGCTTCTAATGGGAAGAAATAATAGTAGAACAGATTACAAGCAGAGTTGCGTGACAAAGATCAATAGTTAATTAAAGGGGGAACTTCAAAATGCAAACTATGCTTGCAACATACAGATATCAGTCATGTTGGACAATCTTTAAACTACGGGTGGGTGCATTAATGCCCCACGGTTTCCTAAGATCTACCATACTTCATCTCCAGACATCTTTTTTAAACGTTGTGTATTCCGAAATACGATGTCTGTAAATTAAGTGATACACATTTTCTTGTATTTTTATTATTCAAATATAATTACAGATTTATATTGTCACCCGAAAAATAACTTCCTTTTGAAGCCACACAGCTCAGGATACGGCTCTTTCATTCCTCATAGCAGTGCTGGAAGTCAGGCGAATAAGGAGGCTGAGGAGACGCAGGAATGTCTTTACTGGCCAAAAACTCGTTTATTGACATTGCTGTGGGAGTATTATCGTGATGCAACACCCAGTTGTTCTTGATCTGATGAACGGTGGTGCGAGTCAAATTTAACTCTTCCCCGATCATTCTGACTGTCAACCGACAATCTGAACGCACCAGATCCCGGATTCTGTCAATATTTTCATCCGTAGTTTAAAATGAAGGCCTTCCGCTTCGTATTTCATCTTCAATCGACTCTCTTCCTACTGAAAATGCCTTAAACCACCGAAAAACCTGGGCTCTTGACAAAACACTATCTCCGTAGGCCTGCTAAAGTTCAGCAAGAGTTTCCGTTACACTGTGCCCAAGTTGCTCGAAATTGATGCCACACATTTTTAAAACAATATTGAACAGTTTCACAAAAAAAAAATCACTGCGGGCAACCAAAGGACTCGAGCGAATTCAAACTTGTACTGAAGGTGGATCACATATTCCCCTGTCTCCTCTATAAGCCTGGCGCCTCCAGTGTTGCTAGAACGAACGATATGATGCTAGTCTCATCACTTAATTTATAGATCTTGTATACTTATATGAAATTCTTCATAATCTTTCATTTACGATTGTGAGCTACGTTGAGTTGGCGTTAAACGTATGTATGATCAATCTGGCGTTGTCTTCCTTACATTTTCATCTATTTCAAATCATTTTTTGTTGATATTTGTTTCAAACTGGGTTCTACGTACTGATGCATAGATGTAACATCTCTCTCACAGGGAACGTCTCCTGAGGCATATGAATCGAAACAATGTGATAATAAATTTTACTATTTTTAAAGGATATTGTGCAGATATATATAAGGCAGATATTTTTAACAGTCCCATTTGTCTGTTCATGTAGAATAATATGAAACTCGTACAAATGAATGTTTTAATGTTTAAAGATAAGCCGTCATCATTGTACACATGGATCCTATATACAAAACCAAATGGAAATTACTTTTTGTTTAAATTGTCATATTGAAGTTCAGTTTACAAGTAGTATAAATAATGATAGCATTGCAATACTTGGAATCTTGCAACAGCATTATTTAACTGTAAGCGACAATATTCAATTTCATATAATAATAATAATTTATTCATACCAATTACAAATTGTGAATAAATTATTATACATAAAATATAACCCTGTTACAGTTTGAAATGTATGTTCAGTAGACCATTTTCATACTGTTTACTGACAGATGACGGTCATTGCGGTTGGAGAAAAACTCATTTGTTTTATGGTTTTGGTGATCATTAAAGCTGGACTATGTCTTGTCGAGCCAAGAAATATCCAAACATCTAATGAGTGTTATGAAATTGATTTCTAAATACATAAACGAAAGTATTGGAATAAGACAATTTGAACGTTGATATCTTCATATTTGAGTCAATTTAGTAAAAAGTTGCTTCTATAGATTTTTACACTGGATCCTTTCATCCTTTTACCGTAGTCTCTACTCATATAGTGATTCTATGCATGTCATGCAAGTACTGAAAGTTACTTTTAAGTGATCACTTTTCCTGTCATCACTTTAGTTTATCGTTTTTAAGAACTGATTTTGCGGACATTGTACTGTTCTTGGTCATGTGTGAGCTTGCAGAAATGTTTGCTACATAAAGTAATTCACATTTCTACATATCATCTAGTTAAATAGTTTCTCGTTCTTTATTCTGCTTAATACACATGAGTTAAATATATTCAATTAAATATATAAAACATAAGAAAGTATACTTTCATCAAATCAAGTTTCTGGTCAAGATTATGGTTGAAATAATAGTGCAAATCCAATTATATGTCACAAGTGTTACGATTCAACGTGGATAACTTCGTTAGTCTTAAATTTGAAGCATAATTCTCCAAGTGTTTTTATCAAATAGCAATACAAGTAACATTTAAAAATTTGGAAGCTTTCTAATGACCAAACGACGTAATAGTCTACGATATTACACCATGATCCCAGTAGCAGATTGTAGTTAATTCCATAGAATCTTAAGGTGTTTCTCAGTCAGTGAAGCGTTTCCAGATATACCTGAATAAATTGAAGTCGAGAACTTTGGTTCTTTTTGTGCGCTAGTCGAGAATGTAGGTCGTCATTCCCCATTGTCTTTCTGAAAGTACAAGTGCGCATCCAGCATTTGTGTCACAGGAAGATACATTTCGGCATCGCAATTTTCAATAAGAGAAGGAGTCGACCGCGGAATATTCTGCACTCGCTGCCATTTGGCCATATGCATTCACAATTATTGAGGCATAAATTCCAATTTCCAAAGATATTATCTTCCAGTTATTATTATATAAAGGTGTAAGAAAATTAGCAATGTATCTATTGCGTTTATAACTAGTCTGTCTCTTGTGAACTAAATGAGTTAATAGTTTTCGTTGGATTATATTGTCGTTTTAGTTCTAACACAGCGTAACTCAAACCTGGCAAACCTTTAAACGAGAAAAAACGGCAGATCTTTGGATTCCCTATCAAATAAAACGCATATCTTGGTGGCGCCATTTTTTGAGCTCACGATACGATGTTAAAACTATGTGGAAATTATTTAAGAAAAACCTATTTCCATGTCTCCTTCAGAGGCATGTTTCTCCGGAATCAAGAGCTGTTTCGCAAATGGAGATGATCAAATACAATAGTTTCAGAATAGTCCCGAGTCACTTATAGAATTCTTGCCCCATAACCAAACTAAGACAATACCATCATGCTAGGTTTCAAACAAAAGTGTCAATCATATGAAATAGTCCCGCTTTTCTCTGAGTTTTTTCGTCAAAAAGTGTTTTTATTAAAATTGCTCACAGCGTTAAAGGCGCGCGATAAAAGGATGTCTGAATTTTAAATTAGCTACCTTAAACACAAAACACATTAGGCTCGATTTCCAATAATGCACTAACCGGTATGCACTGCTACCAAGCCCAAAAACGCAGAATCTCTATTTTATTTATATTTGCGTCAAGCTGAACGTACAGGCATCCATATTTAGCCCTTACCCTCTTATCTCCTCGCCGTCATCGATGCACTTAGAAATTGATCAGGGTTGCCAGATATGGTGATTTTTCACCACATCTGGTAAGTTTTTACCCATTTGTATCCATTACGTATTTGCAAAAAGTCTGTATTTTATTAAATTTATCAAAGAGATTGGAAAGCCATAAATATTGGTGGTCAGTGAAGTAATGCGTAGAAGTGACCGCGCATAAAGCTAGGAGGAAAATGGAGACGTGGGTTGCAAGACAACACTCTCAGAAATGGAGAAGTATCTCCAGACATCTCCGCCAGGCACGGGAACTCATTGAAGGACCCAGTGTTAAGGGTGGACGCTTCTGCCTATCTCAGGATAGAGCCAACCTAAGGTTGCTGGTGGGACTATTGTCTGGCCATAACACGTTAAGGCGTCACCTGCACGTGATGGGGGTGGCTGAGGATCCCTTGTGTGAACGCTGCGGGGTAGAGGAAGAGACCTCTGCGCACGTTTTGTGTCGCTGTGAAGCTCTGAGCTACCATAGGCAGACTATACAGTGGTCCATTACTTTGGACCCTCAGGACATCAAGGAGCTTGGACTCAAGGCGATTCTCAACTTCACTAAAAGGCTTGTGATCTAAGGATGGTAGAGGTGCATAAGGGCCCGCTTAAGCGGCCTATGCACTGGCTCCTTATGGTGGCCGGAATGCCTCTAATTTCAAGATTCATTCATTCAATGCGTAGAAGAACATTATCGAAATTATCGTCGCAGCCATTGTGATTTTTTTGTAAACAGGGTGAGTTTTTAGTGTCTCCGTCGATAAATCCGTTATTTTGCATGATATCTGAAAAAATTAGGTACAAAAATTATATCCGGCAGCCAGCTCCCTACATGGAAGGTATTTTTATCTTAATAGGGTATGTATATTCAACCATTTTCATGTAAACTAGAATTTTCGGGTCGTTTGGAATTAATAACAAATATCCGCGGCTTGGTTCCGCTCCATGAGCAAGGGTCACTATGTCCAATCTTTAATAACTTCATTGTTGTTGGAACGGTTTTCCATTCTCTGGTCGTTTGAAAGAATTTACAAATTTTGTAGTTTTGTACCCATCCATGCACAATGGTAACATCTATGTCCAATCCTCGAAACATTCTGAGCAAAGAAGAAACTGTTCATATTGCGACCGAAATTCTTTTGGTATGAAATATGTTGAGAGTTTAGGAAACACCGTCTATAGGTTTAATTGTAGGTAAATGTTTGTATGTTTGTGAATCAATACTAAATTCGGAGATATAAAATGGATATATAATTATGAGCGATAGGGGTAATTTCTAGGTAAATTGCTAGTACAAGGTTGTTGATTGAAAATTTAGTATTGCTCCATGTACTAATTGCTTGATGTAATGTCAGTGGTTCCATTTCATCCTAGACTTTCTACGAACCAACGTCATTACGGAACAGATAGTATTTAATGGAAAAAAGCGTGTGATTATGTTGAGTGCTGATCATTTACAGATACATGTAGCTATACGAATTTTGTTATGTATATTAAATGAAAAACTGTCGAGTATACTTTAGTGTTTCATTTCGCATGCATATTGCTGTAGTGCAGATAAACGCTTAAATCAGAAACTGAGAACAAGGAATCTGGTGAAGGGAAACACACGTTCTTATCAGGACTTGCCATCCAATAATTAACGTTCCAGCGGCAAAAAAGCATAATTCTAATAATAATAATAAATTGGTCTTTATTAACCCTACGTTAGGCGCGTGGTATTTTGTAATGAGTTTAATCACGTGGTAGATCAAAACAATGTGGAAAATACATGTATTCATAGATATATAGTTCAAAATAAATTTAATTTTTAAAACATTTACATTTCTAAAACAAAAGAGATGTTTTTATACCTTTATTTGCTTCTGGTTAGCTTTGAACAACAATACAAAATCTGAAATTCAAAAAAATGTAATTGTCTGATATTAGCACAGCAAATTATATCAAAATACCATTAACAAAAAAAAAACTATTTCAGTCATTAGAAAAGTAAGGACAAAGTAACAATATGTTCGGTCGGGCAAACATTTAATGCATATGTCTGTCATGCATAACGTTTGCATTTCACGCAAGCTTTTCTGGAAGATTTGTTTGGCTTCGAGGACAAACATGACAACAGCCAACGTAATTGTCTGGTTTTTGAGATAGAGGGAGAAGGGCTACAATATCTTCACGTCCAAGAAGAGCACTCGCTCGTATTAGTTCTACCGGTAAAGTAAATTCCTCAATAAATGCACTTTTAAGGACTTTGTTTTCTAAGGGACGATTTGCTTTATACACGCAAAGGGCGTTTATATCCGATAAATTCAATAGATCAAAGAATATTACCATAGGCCAACGACATGTGTTTCTTGCGACACTATAATTCACACATAATTGATCCACCAAATCAACACCAATTTTAGATTTATTGTATTGAATTACTATTTCTGCTTTTTGCATCCCCTGTTTCCGGATCAATGGCATTATCATGGTGCATGCAGGACACCAAAATAACAGATTTATTTTTCTTTGATCAGTAGGATACCATCGTAATATCTTTTTGCAAACCAAATTATCCTTCCGCATTGTACCAATGTATGTTTTTTTAGTTTCCTCTATTGGATGAACTAATCGTAATACAATATCTTCAGCAGAATTGTTCAACTTATACGGGCCAGCAGGTTGAGTACCAACGTATGGTTCGAGATTGAAAGTATACAAAGTTTTAGCATCAACCAGAGCAAACATCTTGACTCCGTACTTCGCTGGTTTAGTGGGTATATACTACTTGAATGAGCAGCGCCCTCTAAAGGCCAACAATTGTTCGTCAACAGTCAAGTATCCACTAGGAATTAAATTGTTTTGAAAATTTCGAAAACATTCCTAACGGGTGCTAATTTGTCCAGTTCTCTTCTTTCATTTCTCGTTGTAATATCGTCGAATGTCAAACAACTGAGGAGAAACCGAAATCGTTTTTAGCTCATCGCGAGATAACGGGATTCAACTCGATTGCCCTTAGAATTGTCCCATATTCTACGAGCACTTGCCAAATTGCTACTACAGAGAGCGTAAGCGGGAAGTTATTTTAAGAAACATACATTATGCAAGAAAGTTTTGAGACAACGAACTAGATGGTAAAACCTGTCCCATTTATGCTATTATCAGAGAGGAGACCTTTCTGTGAGAAATGTGCTGTTATAGTAAACTTAAATACCGAGGTACTGCGATTGCTAAAAATATGTAAGAGATATTTGGCTTATCCGATTTTTGAACTATTCAAGGTCACTAAGCTGGGAAAAACTAGGATCAACCTCTCCAGCCTGTTCTCGATGAATGGAGTTCTTAAGAGTTAAAATGTGTAATGGAAGTGTGGCTTGTCTGTATAGTAGGATTAACATGTGGCGGCATCATGATTTGACTTATAAGAAGAAGTTTATGGGGCGAATATCTGAATAATGATTGAGCTATTCGGAAAATGTATGACATCAAAACACGTTTTATTTAGAAAAATCGAGCAGATGTAGTCATATTTTATGTAGATGATATTGGCTCTTATTTTAAGTCCCCTATGTTACCATGCGTTGAATTCGAATTCTATACTAAAGATAGTACTACCAAAAAATCAGCACATTTTAAATATCTTTTGATCTTCTCCATAATTGCAGTTACTATCATCTGGCCCTTTTTTGTACCAAGAAGCTTGTTCTTTTTGTTTCTACCACACTAGAATCACTTGTACTTTTATGGAACATAAACATCCAACTTGCGAATATTGTTTTTGCAACTTGTATAATATGAAGTACTCGTAGTACTAGAATACTGTGTGTGGAACACAATATCTCGTATCGGTGCAAGTTACAAGTAAATTGACTTGTAATTATTACACCATACTTTTTATGGAATAGGGCCTCAGTTACAAGCAGTTACAAGTATTAAAGTGCAATACTGTCAAGAAAATGGCAATTCTTAGAGAAGTTGATTTGTAAGGGCTTTAAAAAAATTATGCACTTTAATCAGTTGATTCAGTGAGACATTAACGAAACCAAATGCATGAAGAATCTTGTAAAAAATGAGACTGGCGGTCCGCTAAGAGCTTTCCGAAGAAAGACACGTGACACTACTCCAGAAATACTTATACTCCCTTATCCTCCAATCATTGTATATGATACTTTTGAAGAACATGCTCTGACGATTTTCTTGAAAAGTGATCTATCGAGAGATCAGAACCTTCCATAAAAAATTCTTCCATAGTTCAAATAATGTAGAAACATCTCAAGTTTCGATGTGTGGCAGGAATTAAGATATTAGAAGTGAATCAACTGTATTTTAATAAAACATTGTGAGAAATTACACTACGGTAATCGAATTAAATGAATTTTTGTGTATTGCCTCCTCTGAATTTGTGCAGTTATGCATATTCGCCTTGGATGGTAAGTTCACTCAATATGTTAACATTCATGGCATTTGAATTCTATATTAAAATTGCTACTACAAAAAGCTGACACTATAAATCTTATTTGCCCTTTATAGCTGTTTGTACTATTACTTGACTTTTTTCTGTACGCAATAGTATCAAGCAACTATTGCTACTTTCTTCTACCAAACAAGACACACTCGTAGAAAGTGGATTTGATATAACAAGATGAATATTACCACTTGTACTCTTCTTATGGAACATAAATATCTGACTTGTGCGTAAGGTCTTGTAACTGGAGACTGTGCGGAACGTGCAATACCCTTGGAAGGACCTTCAGATGGCAGTCTTTATTCCCCTCCAAATAAGAAACCTTTAGGTAATTGATATCCACTTATATCACAGTGATGCCACGCATAACCGCGTTTTCAAAAGAATATATCGGGAACTGAAACTTTGCATGGCTACCATAACATCATATTGGTTTTTCAATATTTGGTTGCACATAAACATTCAAAATTCTCTCGCAAATCGGTAACTCTCGAATGTTAGAAGGAAATCACCCTCTTATCAAAAGTCGACAAAAGTGGTTCCTAACTATATATCATGCACAAGTCTCAAAATATTCTCGCTGGATCGTATATCTTAAATTTCTCACACGAAATTTTGCTTCTTTGATAATCATCCACCTAAGACAAAAAACACGCATAGGTCATTTCTCGGAATTATGAAGCTTTCCCACATTAAGTTGCTAATAATAAATCAGTAAGGTAGGCACGTACTGCCTTCCACTCATGATAAACCCACACAACCTTTCTCGCCGCCTAATCTAACACCATTGTGTTGCTTTCTGACACATTATAGCAACAGAGGCATACTAACTATAAGTTATAGCTAAAGGAACTGAGCATTGCGATTTTTAGTATCCTTTGGTATTTAAAACGCTGTCCCTCTTGGATATCACTTAAGTTTACAGCACACTTCTTACGATTTATACGTATTTACGAGTATTGTGACTTGTGACAAATCTAAGTCTAAGCATTATATTAGCTATACAGATTGCACTTAAAAAGTGATTTATGTTCTGTTTGTTGCTCAATAGTAATTTGAAAAGTGTGTAAACTGTGACGTATTTTGTTCAGGGTTGGTGTTGCAGCGAAGCACTATTAGTCTAATCATGTTAGACTAAGACACCCCTGGTTTGCGAAATAATTCTAGTCTGGTTTTATTGCTGCAAGTTGCTCAAGGGGGTATTCAAAACATGGACGCATAAAATGGGTACAACAATTTTTGTGGGCAAACTTTTTATTCGACAACAATGAATAAGAAAACGTGTTTTTTGGGATTCAATCTAAATAATTGGTAAGGACGACAAAACTCCCCTTATAACATCTTTAAGTATTTATAAGACCTACAAAATGAGACCACACGTAAAAAGATCCGACTAATAACAAAAAAGTTATCGCCGAAAACCGAAATTGGAGTAGATTGGTCAAGTAGTTTGTAAGAATTTCTAATTGTTTATAACAAGACATCTGTTTTCCTGCCACCACTACTAGTTTTTTTGAGCAATATACAGGGTTAGTTCAAAGGGCATTTTATAGCAAAATACACTAGTTTACCTTGCCGATATGAATCGAAAACTATTCCGGAAGATAAATGTTATTTTTATGAAAAAAAGGATGGGTTACGTTTTTCTTCTAAACAAATTTCGTATTTGTGAGTCACTCTCTCTCACATTTGTAGCTGCATTCCTTCTGGTGCTCCTCACTTTGTATGGTATACAGGAGGTCCTCACCTTGCATGCCAGCAAAAAAAAAACATACATACACGTATATATATATAGGTGAAAATTAAAGCTTCCGCCTTTTGTTGGGTACTTCGACAAACTTTAAGCAAAGAGGACTCTTTATACTTTTTTAATTCTCTCTAGCTTTCAATTGGACTTTGCCATCATCATCAGGAGAGTAGTATGTGAGGATGTTGCTAATTGTTGTTTACGTATAGAATGAGGGAAACGTCCAGTAACATGGTGAAAGCTGGATAGATGGTACAATGGTCAAAATTATATAAAATATGACAAGAACAAGTCAAAACAGATTAAAATTTTTTTAAAAAACATGAAAGCATTACATCGTGAAGCCACTTGATGATTGCACAAAAATGTTTGTGTTTTTAACTTGTTCTTGTCATATTTTATATAATTTTGACCATTGTACCATCTATCCAGCTTTCATCATGTTACTGGACGTTTCCCTCATTCAATACATAAACAACAATTAGCAACATCCTCACATACTACTACTAGAGAGAGAGAGAGAAAGAGAGAGCTGTTGAATTATTTTAAAATCCTTCTCTACTGCGTATTGCTGCAAAAAACATGTCCAAATGATCCTGGCTTAATTTATATGTCAATAAAAAATTTAATACTTCACCTTTCACCAAATCCTCAAATAAGTTTTTCACACTAACTAAACAAATTATCTAACCTGACCTGTATCCTCTTGCAAGTTGACAAGCTGTTTGAAATATTCCCACCTAATATCATTCCCTCCTCCATCTTTTAAAACACCATAGTCACCTAAAGTATTACGCACCAATTTAATCATGTGACAAGCATCTAATATTATATGTATTTTCTCCAATGTACAAGCTGACGAATATACATTTCATCCATCATCAAGGCACCAACAAGCTGTTTTCCCTTTTGTTTATCAACATCCACCTTAATTTTGATAGCACGAAGTGCTTCTGCATTATATTCAGGTGTACCATCTACACACTATACCATTTTGAACGTGTGCGTGGATGTGGTAGAACACTTTTTCCAAATATTTTTCTAACATAGTTGTATGCTGATGATGAATAAAAATTCAATGTTAGTGCAAAACACCTTAATTCTGGGCTATACTTGTTAGATTTTCCTTTTTTCAACTGCCTGAAAAGCAGTTGCTTTTTGGTTTCTGGGAGACTTTCCTGTAAAAACAAAATGTATGCATGCATCATAATTTTAAGCTAAAAATTTCATGCACTAAATGTAAAACCTAAATACTGTGATGGTAAAATGATCACTCTAGCTAGTAATCAATAGATATTCAACAGAGTTCAACAATTGAAATGAAAATTTTACAAATGAAAATAAACTACAAGAAGGTAACAATTGTAGCAGCAAAGTATCTGTTCATCAAATGTCTACCTTCAATACTATTGACTGAGCTGCAGATATTCTCTTTTCCTTAAGTAGTTCATCTACCAGACTATTCAGACTTTTTATTTTATTTCTTTGTCTACGAATTTTACACTGATTGTCCTTGTTAATTTTTTTGTACTTATGAACAGTTTCATGAGCAGTTTTCCAAAATCTCTTCCGACGCTGCACATTATTTAAATCAGAAATTTTGAAATCCCCAAAGTATACTGGTGATCTTCTGACCCTACAAACAAAAAGAGGTTGTAACAAATGAGAAACACAAAGTTCAATGACAATTACCTTAAATTGCATATGTTGGAAGGTTCACTTGATTCTAAAAATCCTAGTTTGTGTTACGTTTGAAGGGCCAGCTGCCAATATATTTCCATCATCAGCATGATCGCCACTTTCAGGTTCTTCTACTACTTCACAAATAGCCAAAGTTTGTTCTAAAAATAATTACGTTACTAAGACCCACTTCATCATTGTAAATATCTTTTATAAAAGTAGAAAAGTTAAAACCTTAAGCTTAGACTGGGAATATTTTAAAGAACATACCTGTTGCTTTTGAGTTGGATTCATGTTTTCTTTTCAAAACCCTTCGATGGCTAGGTTCTTTCTTGAGATGGGCTGGAAAATCAAACACATATGGACCTGTCACCTTTTTTAGTACCTTATTTCCATGAACACTAACTTCATAATCCTCTGGAGTGAAATGCTTTTCACAAATTACCCTTGTTGTACTGGGAGTAAAGTTTTCTCTTCTTATAGCATGTAACCACAACTTCCTCATGTTAGGATCTGTAGGTATCCTAAAAATCTAGATATTTTCTCGAATTACCAATTAACAGGTAATTCTCACACAAAAATGAATGAGATGATTAAAACCAACCTGTGAAACTTCATTTTCACAACTTTTCTGGGGCTATTGCAACAATTCACCGCACTGCAAGATTCAACCATTTTTAAACAAATATCACATAAAACAACAGCTCTTGAAGGCTGCCCGGCATAAAAATGTTTATAATAATTGTCGCAAACTATCACTATTAATCTTTAACGTCACTAAAAACAAACATTCACCAAAAATCCTTAGAACATATATGGAAATACCACAATGGACCACGATGTTTAGCCCTGAATAGCGTTATCCTTCTCGTTTCTCATTCTAGATTCTAGCCGCAATAAATTGGCGTTACGCCTGTTCCATCAGTGTTGACAGTTCATTGGCGCTCTCCCACACGAAGTGGCGAATGGCCATGTGTCCAACGTTGTAAGGCATTCGCCACATCGTGTGGGAGCGGTTTAAACGTGAGGTAAAATGGACGAAGATGCATTGTTGGAAGTGTCTTCACATCTTACAGTGGAAACCATTCAGGAAATTGTAAAGACCATCAGTGGCTGCAAGAATGTTAAGATCAATTTGCTGGAAACAGACAGTGGTGGAACAAGAAAAGGTGATTCATACCTAGGAGTAATTTATAGATTTTTGGTGGCCTCCACTGGTGAGATGGAAGATGGGTAAGTTTTGTTAACATTTGGTTCTGAATTGATTTTAATTGATTGTAAAATGAGAAGGCCAATCGTGATTTGACAGGCAAAAAACATTACGGTACTGTTGCATCCGAAGTTCTGGGTTTCACTGTTTTTACACTTGAAACTTATAGAGGGTAGTCTGATAGATTATTTTCAGTTAAAAAAAAAGTGTGGATGAAGCACGCTTTTCATGAATTTTTTCTCCCAAAACACTGTATTTTTAGCAGTTATTTCTATCATTATTTAGACCGCCATCTACCACACAAAACTGACATAGTGACATATACAGTGAAGAAGGTTTAATTCCAGGCTATTCAATGGCGATACGGTGACTTGTGTGGTTGTCAGCGGCCATTTTTTGAGGGTGCGACATGGTTGCCAGATTGTGCATTAATATCCCGCAACGTTGTTAGCTCTACATATAAATCTGAGATTGCTATACTTTTATGTATAGTTTGGTGGGATATGGGAGATCTTATAACAGCATGTATTATTAACATTTTGCGCTATCTTAACGATGAAATGTTTTTATTGTATGTTAAAATAGCGTCAATAACACAAGCTGTTATAAGATCACTCATATCTACTTACTAATCTGGAAAGGTTCAGAAGAAAAACATACCTAAATATATATTCATTATATAAATCTGACACATTTTTCTACAAACAAATCAGTGTTAAAATAAATAAGAAATTAAGAAACAATTGAATTGTGTTGATATGTTACTACAATTTCAGATTTATTATTTTATTAGAACAATAATATTATTGTCCATGGGTACCCACAGGCATTTTTCTCAGAGGTGCTGATCATCATCAAGAGATAACTTTTTGTGAAATTGTACCTGCCCCCAAAATTTTTTGATGAGCAGAGGAAGCAATTTTCTCAGGAGGGGACAAAATCCTATAAATTCTCAAAGTGGTACACAAAAGTATGCTAAATATGCAAACATTAAAGTCAAAGCGGATTCCCAGAAGAGGCCATGGCCCCTCTGACACCACCCTGTGGGCACCCATGTTATTGTTCAATAACATGTGGCTTCGATTTAATTGCAACTATAGTGACTTTTGCATATCAACCCTGCTGCTCCGAAAATAGCTGATTTGAAATGAAGTATGGAAACTAATTTGGACAAAAAGCAGTACAAATCATCACTGGTTATCGAGTCATATAAAAACTTACAAATATTATGGTCTGCAAAAATCCTTCAGAGCTGTGCCTTTTGGTTAGATCAGAAGTAATCTTCGAGCTTCTCAGGACCTCAAGGGTTGACAACGGCAGCTGTTGAACTTCTCGTAGCACTCCACTGTTCAAAAAGTGATGTAGAGATACAAACAGGTACGATCTTCAAATATTACATTTCTCAAATGAGTAACCGCTGCATCTCTGATCTTGCTCAGGATCTACCAGAAGCCTGGCTACTGACTGGGATCCTTTGGATCAACTTAAAAAAAGAAATAGTTTTGATTTGGAGTTTGTTTTTTTTTTCTATTCGTCATTGTCTGTCTGAGTGGTCCGTAGGACCTTTGCTCTTGGTTAATTGGAGTTTGTCTTATAGTATTTACAATTTTATTTTTCACAACTCTGAACAAAAGGCATGTCTCAAATAATATAATAGGGACTTTATTCAATTTAAAATGAAATGTTTATGTTACGCAAAACGAAAATGGCTTGCTGGAAAAGAAAGGTTATTTATGTAAAGCATAGGAAGAAACCCGCCGGAAATTTAAACCTGACCAATCAGACAACGTCAGTTGTGAGTAAGCGGCCATTTTTTGAGGGTGCGACATGGGGTTGTCATATTGTGCACCAGCAACACTGCTTTGTTTCCCATTCGCCCATATGAGTTTCACCCCCCTGATCTGCCATATGACGACGTTGACGTCTGTGCATGTCATATATGAGAGGCGCTTGCCTGCGATGTAATGCCGGATTGGGCTCCGCGTTTAGGGAAAAATATGAAAAGTAGAAAATCTATATACATTTATATTAATCAATGAAACACAAAAACGAAAAACTGAAACAAGCAACAATAGCAAAATAAAAAGCGATTCTTAATAAGTATAAAACAAAAAATAATAGTACCTAAAACACAATAAATTGTAAATAATTATAAAAAACAAAAAATAACAAACAGTAAAATGAAAAGCAACTCTGAGTGACAACAAAAAGTAAAAAAGGTAGTAAAACGAAAAACAATTCCATGTGATTATAAAAAAATGCTCTTTGTTTGGTCCAGAAGAAAAACATACTGCAAATACCTAAATATACAGTGTCACTTTGAAGTTGAGTCATTAATTTTCAGATAATGATTGTAGAAGGAAGATAAGCCAAAATATATGTGTAAAAATAAAAAAAATTAAAAAAAAATGTTATCTTGTTTTATAAAGTATCCTCCCGACAAGTATTTCAGTGCGGACCTGTATTTGATCGTGCGGTCTTGGAGCACCGGCATACCCTCCCCTGTGAGGTCTTAAGTCACCTGATTCACGAGCCCTTTGTACTACATTAACAAAGGCACGAGGGGTTGGTTGCACTCGATTGGGAAACCGATCCGCATAAATCCGTGATGCCGCGGCGGCATTTTGTAAAGACTCCCCCCCCCTAAATAAGAATCATGTCCACAAGTTCAGCATTTTCGTAAACATGTGCCATTTTTTATTTCGTTTGAGCCACGCAACAAACACCACTATTCACTCACGCGTTACCGACTGACACATTGACTGAATACATGGAATAAAATTGTAGTTAAACATCGTGATACGCGTTTCAAATTCTTTCGCTTTTTTGTTTCCGATGCGATGAACCGATAAGGCGGATTATATCCGTTGTTGCCAAACACGAGCACATAATGTTATTATTGAGACAGGGCGGTACTCAAACTTCTAAAGGGCTATAACTTTGTTACTTTAATTTTACCAGAAAAAGGTTAAAAGAAAAAAACATTTCTTTTGATCAGATCTACTCACTGTTAAAATAAATGACTCAACTTCGAACCCTGTATATATAGGGTGGCCCATTCATGTGTGGACGGAATTACTCATAAACAAATATATTTTGGAAAAATCTATTTATGGGATGTTATATATGAGATTTGAGGGCACATTTCTTGTTTTCATTCCCCAGCATTTGTTGGCACCTGCATAAATAAAAAATTGAAAAAAAAATTGAAGTGTGTTGATATGTTACTGCAATTCAGATTTCTTTTTTTATTAGAACAATAATATTATTGTCCATGGATACCTACAGGAATTTTTCTCAAGGGTGCTGATCATCGTCAAAACATAACTTTTTGTGAAATTGTACCTGCCCCAGAATTTGTTGACGAGCAGAGGTAGCTATTTTCTCAGGGGGGACAAATCCTAATAAATTCTTAAAGTTGTACACAAAAGCATGCTAAATATGCAAACTTTAGTCAAAGCCAGAAGAGACCATGGCCCCTCTGACACCGCCCTGTGGGCACCCATGTTATTGTTCAATAACAACATGTGGCTTCGATTTCATTAACATAACCACGTATTTAGCGGTTATTCCAGGTTAACTTATACACCACAGTATAATATGTAATTCTGCAGAAAAAAATCTTGGGCACTTTTTATAATATGGAAATTTGTTTTTCCAAAAACCATTTTCCAGCAAAACCTAGACGTCAAATATCAGCACTGAACAAGTGTCGTTGGAGAATAGACCACATAAGATCGATTATTGATCATAGGACGGAATGGATGCGAATTTTGACAGCGCTGCGTTGCCATATTTTGCCACCTAAGAGGTGTTTAGTATAGTCACATCATGGTTGCAAATTAATAAAAACAGTGAATTTAAACAGTATTTTATAAAACAACATAATGGATAAATGAAAAATAAACTAAAAATATAATTCTCGAAATATACAAAAAACATAGAAATAAAAAATAGAGAAATAAACTAGAACATAATTTGTATATCTTTACATTCTTTTCATTTCGATTATCATAAAACTTTCGAGCTGTAACGTGTATGATTCACATGTTAATATACTTCAAATCACAGTCAACCACGATGTGACTATACACCGCTCAGGTGGCGAAATATGACAACGCAGCGCTGTCAAGATTCGCATCCATTCCATCCTGTGATCGATAATCGATCTTCTGTGGTCTATTCTCTAACGTTACTTGTTCTGTATTGATCTATTGATATTTGTGCTGGAAAATGGTATTTTCGAAAAACAAATTTCCATATAAAAAGTGCTCCATCCAAGATTTTTTCTTAGTAGAATTACACTGTCGTGTACACGTTAAACCTACAATAACCCCTAAATACGTGGTTATGTTGAGTGTAGCATCACCCACAAATAACCCGTGTGGCACAGCTAATAGATATACTTCAATCGCAGCATAGTCAATAATAATTTTCTCACATAGCCAATATGACAGATTTTATACACATGCAGACCAATACAATCATCCAGATGCGGTCTTGCTACTCAACCAAAGTTTCGTTGTTTCACATTTTAAACATTACAATTTGTAATCTACAAAGTGGCTGTCTGCAACCAACAATGCATACTTGTAAAGAGACGCTTTGAATCGCGCTCACAACGGTCCTTGTGAGCAAACGTGGAATGACAGTTTGCACCCTAAAAACTACCTAGACTGCAAGATGACATCTTATAGGTGTTTTGACGTTTGACCCCCCATGAGTTTACAGACCAAGCCAGGCGGTGAATCATTTTGTTCTTGTTTGAGTTTTTGGTGTGTTTGCGGTAGAAAATTTGTGAAGAGGTACCTGCAGAACGCAATCGGCACGGGTATTATGTAAAAAACCTATAAGATATCATCTTGCAGACTAGGTAGTTTTTAGGGTGCAAACTGTCATTCCACGTTTGCTCACTAGGATTGTTGTGAGCGCGATCCAAAGCGTTCAGCTATGTAGGAATGAATGAGCGATACGGTATGCTCGTCTCTTTATAAGTATGCATAGTTGGTTGCAGACAGCCACA